CATGTCATAGAACCCTTCAAACCACCAAGAGAGGGACTCTTTGACACCCCTCTTTCAAATCCGGACCGCACTCTCTTTGTGGACCGTAGCTCAATACTCAGTCCTGACGGACACCGACGGGCAGCCTATGCAGTGGTAACTATCTCAACTATTATTAAGGCTAACAGCCTCCCAGAAGGGACAACCTCTCAAAGGGCTTAACTGATAGCACTCATGAGGGCCCGTGACCTCTCTAAGGGCCAAAGGGCCATCTTTCTCCCTATGGTCGCAGGCATTTCCCTCGCCTCCTCTCTCGTTGCTGCGGGCATCGGGGGAGGAGCCCCAACATACAGTGTCTCAACATCCCGTGACCTAGAACAGAAACTCCAGCTAGGCGTTTGGTTGGCTTCTGCCGCCTCCATCACCTCCCTCCAGCGCAGATCACCTCAGTAGCCCGAGTTGCCCTCCAAAATCGACGAGCCCTGGATCTCCTGACGGCCGACAAAGGAGGTACCTGCCTCTTCCTACCGGAGGAATGCTGCTATTACATCAATGAAACAGGACTCGTCGAAGACAACGTAAAAGCCCTCCATCGCTTAAGAGAAGAACTCCAACGCAAACACCAGCAGTCCGCCTCCCCAACTCCCGACTGGTGGCGATCCACCCTCTATACCTGGCTAACACCAATCTTAGGCCCCTTAATTCTCATCTGTATCTTGCTCACGTTTGCTCCCTGTTTTCTTAGGTTCCTTCGCAGGCGCATGGAGGAAGTCTCTCGGGTGGCCACAAACCAAATGCTCCTCGGTCCTTACACCTTGCTTCCTACAGAACCCCCCACTGGTCTCCCCTAAACCTCAGACCTCTGGTCGCCCGACTCCCCTTTCGACGCCCCCATTCAGCATGAAGTAGCCAGAGATCAGAACGCCACCCCATTACACCAAAGATGTCGGGATGTAAGGCCAACTGGCCCGAGGCAGGGGAACACAATCAAATTCACAAGTTGCATCAGACTGAAATTCTCCGGACCACCCAGTTCCAGAAACTGCCCTGGAGACATTCCGGACCACCCAGTTCCAGGAACTGACCTGGAGACATTCCGGACCACCCAGTTCCAGGAACTGACCTGGGGACTTTGAACCCAGCCCAGCCTTCCCACCTTTCGAGGGGCGGGACTAACGGTCCCCCAGGATACCCGAAAAGACCACCAAATAAGGAATACCCTGCGCCCTCCCAGATTCACCACACCCCTTTCCCTTGTTCCTCTATAAAATCTTGCCCGCCCGGGTGCGACTTCTCTGGCCCCTTTCTCTCGGACCAGTGAACCTCGCCCGGGAGCGCTCCCTAATAAAGCTCACTTGAAGCTTTCCTCTGTTTCGCGGTGCCGTTTGTTAAGATCCGACCTTACAGATTCTTCTTGTTATCCTTAGATTCTTCTTGTTCTCCTTAAAATTATCTGTGGGAAATTCACTGAGCCCTAGAATGATGGTACTTTCATCCAGAGAGGGTCTGCATTTGCTTCTGCTAGACACCTAGAGGCACTGCCATTTGGGGACCATGTGTTTGGGGTTACCTAGGTGGTATGAATCTGGGCTACAAACATGCAAGAGGGCTGGCTTACAGTTACAACCATCAGGACTGTTTGGTTCGTTTGTTTGCTCTGTCTCTGCTCTGCTCAGCACCAAGAAAATTTTCCTGTGGTCCCCCGAGGCATGGTCCTGGGGGGCAGGAAGGTGTGAAATTTGGTTTTGGTTCATCCTTACAGTAAGGGTGTAGCCCTTTGGGATTCCAATTTAGCAGGGCCAGTTTTCTGTTAAACTCCATGTTAGGCAGACCCTGAGCTCTGACTGCTGTCCCCTTCTCTGCATAAGGCCTTTAAAACCTAAATGCAAGTGGCTCGATTGATTGCCTCAGGGCAAAGGAGGCCTGCCGTCAGCTGATTTTCTCAGCCTCTTCTGGTTTTGCCTCATCTCTCTGACCTGTCACTGGAGTGCCCCCGGGCTCCATCCTTTTTCCTCTTCTTTTCCAGCTACAACAGACTGCCCTTGATGCCCTCACATAATTTCATGACTCTAATTACTATCTCTATGCTGACACTTTCCACATTTATATCTCCAGCCCAGACCTTTCTCAGTTACTCCAGACTTGAATATCTATATACTCTACACCTCTATTTGGTGATTCTCACAGAGAACATGCCCAGGACAGAATTTCTAGACCTCTTCCAGATCCAGCTTTCCCCATGTCAGTTAATGACTATTGTGCTTTTATAGTTGCCCTAGCCCAAATCCTTAGTTTCATTCTGGACTCTTCTTTCCCTCACACCCACATCCATTTCAGAATGTTTTATTGGTTATAACTAATAGATCCAGAATCTTACCACCTCTGCCGCCACCATCCTGGTCCATGCTACCATCATCTCTCCCCTGAACTATTGCAGTAGCTTCCTAACTAGGCTTTCTCCTTCTGCCCTTGCTCTCCTACAGGGTGTTGCTGTAAGTCAGATTTTGTCACTTATCTACTCAAAATCTCCGAAGGCTCCTCATCTCACTCAGAGTAAAGGCTTCATGTTTTCTGCCCTCACATGCCTCCTCCCCACCTCAGATGCATCTCTGATCTCTTGCTGGTCTCCCTATCACTCAGTTCTCTTCAGCCACAATGACCTTGCTGTTCCTCAAACATACCTGGCAGTCTCCTGCTTAGGACCTTTGTGTTGTGTTCCCCCAACCTTGAATCCTCTTCCAAAGATGCCCACATTGTTTTCCAGGTGTTTAATCAGCTGAAGCCTCTTAAGAGAGTTCTCCCTAATTGCCCTATTTAAAATTATATGCCTCCCCAGCACTCTTTATCCACTTTTCTTACTTTACTTTTCTTATAATCATAAGTTAGCTTCTATATAATGCCATGCACTATTCTAACACATTTAATCCTCACAACGCAAGGTGTTACTTTATTATCCCCATTTTACTGATAAAACCAAGGCACAAGGTGGCTGATTTGGGATTTAAATACAGTCTGATTATAAATCTTTCTGTGCTGCTAACTGCTCTATTCTGTCTTTCCATATGTAGCACTTGTCAGCTTCTGTAATATTATATAACTTCTTTATTTTGTTTACTGTGGGTCTCTACCTGCCACCTCCACCCCCATCTAAATGTCAGCTCCAGGAAGACAGGTTTAGGGTTTTTTTAATCTGTTTTTGTTTTTTTTCTTAACTACAGTATCCCTAGCACCTAGAACAGTGTCTAGTTTGTAGGTTCAATGAATATCTATTGAAGAAAGATACATTTATTTATTTATTTATTTATGGCTGCGTTGGGTCTTCATTGCTGCACGTGGGCTTTCTCTAGTTGTGGTGAGCAGGGGCTACTTTTTGTTGAGGTACACAGGCTTCTCATTTTGGTGGCTTCTCGTTGTGGAGCACGGGCTCTAGGCATGCGGGCTTCAGTAGTTGTGGCTCACAGGCTCTAGAGCACAGGCTCAGTAATTATGGCACGTGAGCTTAGTTGCTCCGCGGCATGTGGGATCTTCCCGGACCAGGGCTCGAACCCATGACCCCTGCATTGGCAGGCGGATTTTTAACCACTGCGCCACCAGAGAAGTCCCTAAAGTTGTAAAATGTTTTAAAGTCTCAGTTAAATGGATAATTTCCTGGGAAAAAAATATCTAATGACTACAAGAAGGGAAATCTGAAAGCCCAATCACAGGGTATGAAATAGTATGAGGGAAGTGATCAAAGTTATCTCCTTTTTCTCCATCATCTAGCTTTTGATTTAGTTCATGCTGTATTTTTTATTTTCGTAACTGGGTTTATCAATCTTAATTATAATAGGAAGATCTTCTAGATGACAAAAATAACCCTTATTTTCTTTCAGCAGTTATTGTTTAATTTTTTTTACATTTAAATCAGATATATTTGAAATTCATCCTAGGTTTTGGCATGAAGTATGGAGCCAACTTTTTTTCTAGATAGCTATCAGTTTTTCCTACCAATTCCAACCATCATCTTTATCATATATCCTTAAGCCCTGTCTATTTTGGGGTCTAATTCTAGATTCTTCATTTTTTTTTGTATTGGTTTTCTGCCTCCTCTTATGCTGTGGCACATATTTCTAATTACTGAGGCTTTGAAGTATGTTTTGGTGTCTGATAAGTCTAGTTCCCCCTCTTTGCTCTTCTTTTTCAGAGTTTTCCTGGCTAATGTACCTTATCTGTATGCGCTTTAGAATTTCTTTCAGCCACGGAAAAAAATCTGTGGCTATTTTTGTTGAGCTTGGTTTAAATTTTAATAAATTACTGAAATGACATCTTTAGAATGGGTTCCCCTCTGAGAACACAATATATCTTTCCATTTGTCCAAGTCTTCATTTTTATCATTCAGGAGTATTTTTTAGTTATTTTTGTTTTTTTCACTCCTTATTAAGTTTACTCTTAGAAGTTTTCTTTCTTGTTTTACCAAACAGTCTATGATTTTACTTCCCATGCAGATCTGCCTTTAGGGAAAGGATATTCTTAATCATGCAAAGAGTAGTGAGTGTCAGTTTAATTCTCACCGTAAATTAACACATTCACATTCTGGTTTTATACATCATTCTGTATGAGCAATTAATATGATTCACAATGAGAGATGAATCCAGTCTTCACATACCAGTAAGTCAGGTTTTAGAGCCTGTGAGGCTGAGAGCCAGATCATAGATCTTGGCAAATTTACCCTTGTAAATATTAGTGTATGTTGCCCAATGGAGCAGCCTCTGGATAAACAGCCAGATGCCCTCTCCCTGTGACACTTCAACCATGTGTGTGCCTTTACTTTAAAAATCAATAGCTCACTTAATAAACTTCACCACTTTAAGAAAACCTGTTATGCATGTTAAACTTGAATGACAGTCTTTTCAGCTGTTACTGATGTTTCTGCATCTGTTTATAAGTAAAAGGACCCAATCTATACACTAATGATATGCTTTGGAAAGTTACTATCATTGGTCAAATCTTTAATGAAAGTTTTAAATTCTTGTATATTACAGAATTTCACAAACTTATTTGGACAGCCACTAGTCTGCTTGCTTTCTCCTACAGCATATCCAAAAGCTTTACAAGGTATGTTTTGTCATTCCCTGTTGTATCCGTAGGTTGCAAATAAACTTATGTCTACATTTTGAATAATACTGCTCTGATCTTTGTCTCCCCCACCTATAGTGGTCAGTTGTGGATTTACAGAGTTTGATGTGGCAAGTGTCAGTCTGAAATAAACCCCGAAGTCTTGCCAACAACCAGAATTCTTTAATGGGCTACTGTTAGGCCTTGAGATAATTCTAAAAGAAATGATAAATCATCCCTGAGAAAAGAGTAAGGTTTTGGTCCCTTGCTACTGGGGAGCTCATGATTTGTGAATTTTAAAATTTGTGTTGCAGGTGTGCTGGGTCGTCATCCATATAGCATGACTTCCTCCAGCTCTGGCTACATATTTTAAGTATCTTTTAAGACCGTGAGATTTCTGGTCTAGAACACTTCTCAATCTATGCCTAAGTGTTAGAATAACCTAACTGGCACAACTTAAAGGGTGTCTTTTATTCACATTTTTACCTCGCATTTTTAAAATAAAAGAACCTCTTCTCCGGGTGCCAGAGAGACAGGTCAGTGTTTTGCCTTTTCTCAGGTGGCTGAGAAATGAAAACCTTTTTGTCTTTAATAATTTGTCCTCAGTAAGCAACACATAAAATCTAATCTAATTCCCAGTCATTAAGCTAGGTAAAATACTAAACAAACCTTAATCCTGTTTTAGCAGTACTTGTCACTGTTTCACTATCTCCCTAACTGTGAATAGTGCTGATGTCTCTCTGTGGGAGATGGCATTTTACTGCTACTTCCCAGCCAGAAGTCCTGTCTGCTGACATAGTTTGACACAGGAAGTGATGGTCAGCATTTGAATGCCCGAGAGAAGCTGGAGACTTTTCACCGTTGTTTTAAGGTAAGTTCTGCTATTTAACAGGGAAAAACATGTAGAAATACTAAGTTCATGTATCTAAAAGGCAAATCACTAAGGGATAGAACTTACCTTCAAACAACGGTAAAGCTCTCCTGCTTTGAGGACTTTGTTAACCTCTTTCTTATAATTTTTGGAGAAATGTAACCCCTTCCAATTGCGAGTACTTTTTGCTATCAAATTTTCCTATCAAGATGCAGCTTTATTTTAAATTGCATGAACCTAATGGGTTAATACCACAATTATTTAATCTGAAAGGTTTTATTGTGAAGCGGGTAAAAACACAGACTCTGGAGGCAAACTGATTGTGTTTGAATCCCAACTCAGCCACTTACCAGCTATGTGACCTTGGGAAGTTACTTAGCCATTCTGTGCCTCAGTTTCTTTCCTATCAAATGGAGATAATAATAGTACCTACCTCATTAAATAATTCTGGGTACACAGTAAGTATTCAATATGTGCTAACTATTGTTATTATTAATATGGTTAATTGAAATACATGTCCTTAACATTTTTTAGTCCAGTATCCTATTTTTTGTGCTGTAGAACTTAGACCTCTAATCCCTTAAAAGTGTCCCATCTGGACACAAAACTAGCAGATACCTAAGTATTTGGAACGTCAAAGTACGTCCCTGCACCTCTGGTATCTGAATTCTGCAGTTCTCTCTTTAACCAAGAGTCACTTCATTCATTCAACAAGCATTTATTCCACATTTATTTATCAGGCGCTGTGCTAGGTAGAAGATATAGACAACCTAACAGGCAGTTACTGTAGGTGCTCTGAGGGTTTCACAGGAGGAAGCACATGTAAGGTGAACTCCTGACCAGCCCTTGAGGGTTAAGAAAGTGGATGAAATGATGTCTAAAGTTGAGTTGAAGGATACGTAGAATTAGATAGGGGTGGGAAATGGTTGAATAAGAGTGTTCTAGCAGAGAAAAAGCATGCGAGCATGTGAAGAATGAATTGGGGAGGAGCTTTGATGGAAATGGGGAGATGATGTTGGCCAGAGTGAGGACAGTGGCTGGTTAGCTGGAGATAATAATCCTGGAGAACCAGTAGGGCTTGATGTTGGACTGGATGAGAGGGAATCAGGGAGAGGAAGGAAGCAGGGATGGACTGCCAGGTGTCTGGCTGAGGTGCTGGTAGAAATGATAATCCTGGATAAGAAGCAGATTTGTAGGAGAACAACGGGAAAGAATCTACTGACAAGTTTTGATATGTTGAGTTTGAGGTTACCTTTGAGAGTTAGGTTGGGTATAGTAGTCTGGAGCTCCTCTGTCCAATAGAAATATAATGGGAGTCACACATGTGATTTTCAGTTTTCTAGTAGCCACATTTTTTTTTTAAGGTAGAAACAAACAGGTGGAATGAATGTTAATGAGACATTTATATTTTATAATGCGCAGTGTGTCTCAATTTGGACTCATCACTTTTGAAGCGTGTCTGGTGGCTACTGTAGGACAGCGCCGTTCTGGACCTAAGGAGCTTATTTAGGCTGCAGATAGGGAACTGGGAATTAGTATGCATATAAATGATAACTGAACTTTGTGTATAGGTGAGATCAGCAATGTGGAGAAAGAAAATACTGATATTTAAGGGATAGGAAGAGAAAGAGCAACTAACAAAGGAGAATGAAAGAGATTGGCAGTTCTAGTACTTCTCAGAGGGTTCCATTAGGAGCTGCCCATGATCCAGCACTTGCCATATTTGCATGGAAGTTGTTAGTGGGAGGGGAAAAAAAAGCAAAGGAATATGTTCATTTTCCATTTCTCTTAAGTTTACGAGGCTCTATCTTACGTTTTTTTTCAGCAGAAAGCAATGTACCTGGGATATGTTTTTGTAGTTCCAAGCCAAATGTACTTTGTTGAAGTATACTTTAATGATACAGCTTTAATTTTATACATTGTCAGTATATTAAAATGTTCCTCAAATGCCTCTCTTTCGCAAAACTGTTGTCTATATATATAACATGTTTGTTATTACAGATCAATCTCAACGAGGTAGCCTCTTCACTCTCTTTTTGAACAATCCTCTAATGGCCTTCCTATTTGTCTCTGGATTGTCAAGCATGCGTAGAGGCCTATGGGAAAAGTGTCAAGAATATCTTCGAAAAATCAACCGCGATATTGCCCAGCTACTGACCCATTCACGTTCAATAGGTACCCTACTAATCTAACTGCACACTTAACAGAATGTACTATAATGGTTTAAAATTGTTTAAATTGTTTGAATTTGTAAAGGTATTTGTTGAAGGCAGGAAAGTTGAGAAGGTTTTCCTGAAAATTTCTTGCCTTTGAAATGTATTTTCCACTTAAGTATCCTTTTACTGTCACTTTTCTCCTCTTTGCAGATCAGGCATTTCTCCAGTTTTTTGGAGATGAATTTCTTCGCTTGCTTCTCACAAGATTTATCTTTTGTTCAGCCACCATGAGGATGCACAAGATTTTTCGGGTAGGCAAGGAATATCATTAAAGATCAATTTTGCCATTTTAGGTATTTAAGAGTCATATATTTCACTTGTATTAAATAAACTTTGACTAGATCCAATATAATATTCACATATTAATATGTAAGGTATAAAGATGCACAATCTAAGGCACATCTGAGTAGCTACCACCCAGTTTAAGAAGCAGAAAGTTTTCATTACCTTTGAGGCCCCTCTGTGGGTCTTCCCTGATCCTGTCTCCCCTCTTTAGTTTTAATGAAACTAAAACCCTGAATTTTATAATTGTCATTTGCTTTTCTTCATAGTTTTGTCACATGTTTTTGTGTTCCTACACAACATGTTCGTGGATCCATATTGTATGTATTCTTCTACATCTTGCTTTTTGACTCACTGTTACATTCCTGAGATTGAGCCATGTTGATGACTGACTGTAGCTTTCATTCATCCGTTTTCACTACTATATAGGATTCAATTGTTTGACTATACATCCCAAATTACTCATTATCTACTGATAATGGCCATTTGGGTTGTTTCTGGTTTGTTATTATTATAAACGATGCCACTGTGAAATCTTCCATCAGTTACCTGGCACACATATGTAAGATTTTCTCTGCGGAACATACTAGTAGTGGACTGCAGGGTCAGACACTATAGATGTATTCAGCCTTACTAGTTAAAGCCCTGGTTATACCAGTTTACGCTTGCAGTAGCTGTGTGTAAGAGTTGCTATTGGTCTAATCCTTGCCAACACTTGTTGCTGTCATTCTTTGTGTTTCATGTGAATCTGGTGGGTGTAAGTAGTAGCTCATTGTGCTTTCAAAGGTCATTTCTGGGATTACTCTTGAGGTTGAACAACTTTTCATATGTGTTACTCTGTGTTCGTCTTTATGAAGAGTGTGTTCAAGTCTTTGGTCTGTTTTGCTCTAAGTAGATTGTTTCTTTCTGTGTATTCATGTAACTAACACTCTTCAGTGAGGTTTTAAAAAATTTAGCCATTTTTCACTTCTTATAAGTAACATTTGGTTCTTTTTCAAATATGCTTAAATATTCTCAAAAGTCTTTTGCCATTTTTAGTTTTAAAATATGATATTTTTTCCATTTTATGACTGTAATTTTAAAATGTGGAAGGGTTTTGCAGTGAGTACCCACATACACACTAGCTGGACCCTGCAGTTAACATTTTGGTATATTTGCTTTCTCACGTATTTGTCCATTTATCCATCTCTCTTTTCAAGTATCAGTTCATCTCAGTTTTTGATGCATTTTGAAGTAAACTGTGGCCTTCACCCCTCAACACTTCATCATGCATATAAATAACTGAAATTTATATTTATTTACTTCTTTTTTTAATGTAAAGTTTGCATACAGTGAAATGCACAGAACTAAAGTGTACCATTAGATGAGTTTTGACAAATACATACTCCTTTGTAACTCAAACCCCAATCAAGTAATACAACATAGCATCATTCCAGAAAATTTGCTCCACACCCCTCTCCAGTCAGTCCACTACCCATGATCCCAGAGACAATGCTCTTTTTATTATTTTCACTACAGATTAATGTCACCTATTCATGAACTTGAATTATACAGTGTAAACCTTATTTGATCAAGCATGTTCTTAATATTCATCTGTGTTGTTTCATGTAGAAGTAACTCATTCCTTTTGAGTAGTTCCATTTTCTGAATATATCACAGTTTATTTAGGCCTTCTCTTTTTTTTTTTTTGGCTTCGTCAGGTCTTAGTTGTGGCACGCGGGACCTTTGTTGAGGTGTGCAGGATCTTTCGTTGTGGCGCACAGGCTTCTCTCTGGTTGTGGCACGTGGGCTTCTCTCTGGTTGTGGTGCACGGGCTCCAGAGTGCATGGGCTCTGTAGTTTGCGGCGTGAGAGCTCTCTCATTGAGGCCCGCGGGCTCAGTAGTTGTGGCGTGTGGGCTTAGTTGCCCCGTGGCACGTGGGATCTTAGTTCCCCGACCAGGGATCAAACCCACGTCCCCTGCATCAGAAAGTGGATTCTTTACCACTGGACCATGAGGGAAGTCCCCTAGGCCTTCTCTTTTTGATGAACACTTGGGCAGTTTTAAACTTTTGACTATTATAGATAAAGTGGCCATGAACATTCCTATACAAGTCTTTTCCAGACTTACATTTTGAATTTTCTTGATCATAGAGTAGGTATGTCTTTAGTTTTATAAAAAACTGCCAGACTTTTTCTCAAAGTAGTTTTGTCATTTTCTTTTCCCAGCAACTGCATGTGAAAGTTGCTCTACATCCTTATCAACACATAGTGTTGTCAGTCTTAAATTTTAACCAGTCTGTTGGATTTATAGTGGTATCTCATTGTATTGGTTGGCCAAAAAGTTCATTCGAACCTTTTGGCCAACCCATAGTTTCAATTTGCATTTCACTGATGAATGAGGATATTGGACATCTTTTCATATGCTTGTTAGCTGCATTTTATCCCATTCTGTTGGCTTGCCTTTTCGTTTTCTTAACAGTGGCTTTGAAGACTAAACTTTTAAAATTTTGATGAAGTTTGAACGAATCAATTTTTTTTTCTTTTGTGGTGTGATTTATCTAAGAAATCTCTGTCTATCCCAAAGTCACAAAGATTCTAGGAGTTTATAGTCTTAGCTTTTACATTTAGTTCTATGATATGAGTTAACTTTTGTTTACAGTGTGAAGTAAGGGTTAAAATTTCTTTTCAGTATGGGTATGAAATTGTTCTAGTATCTGTTGTTGAAAAGATTATCCTTTTTTCATTGAGTTACTTTTGTTATTTTTTGAAAATCAGTCAACCATATATGTATAGGGATATTTCTAGACTCTAAATTCTGTTCCATTGACTGATAGCATTTTTCTCTAATATACTGCTGCCTTGATAATTGTAGCTTTATAATAAGTCTTGAAATCTTTGTAGTGTGAGCCCCCCCTGCCATTGCCAAAATGTTTTATGTGTTTTAATAGTTCTAGAAGATCCTTTGCATATCTATGTGAATTTTATATTTTGATTGGGATTACATTTAAATCTATATAATCAATCTGTAGAGAGTTATATTTTAATAATATTGAGTCTTCCAATGAATTAATATGGTATATCTCCCCATTTATTTAGGTCTTCTGTAGTTTCTCTCACCAATATTTTGTGGTTCTCATCATACAGGTCTTACATGTATCTTATTAAATTTATTCCAAAGTATTTCAAGTTTTGATGATTTGTAAATAGAATTATATTTTTTATTTCATTTTCCAATTATTTGTTGCTGATACATAGAAACAAATGTTTTTATGTATTATCAGCTAATAATGTTTTCTAAATTAACCTGTGGGACTTCCCTGGTGGTCCAGTGGTTAGGACTTCGCATTCCAATGCAGGGGGTGCAGGTTCGATCCCTGGTCAGGGAGCTAAGATCCCACGTGCCTCGTGGCCAAAAAGCAAAACATAGAACAGAAGCAATATCGTAACAAATTCAATAAAAACTTTAAAAATGGTCCACATCAAAAAAATCTTAAAAAAAAAATAATAAATTAACCTGTATCCTGCAGTCTTGCTAAATTGAAGTATTTGCTTTGTTACCTTTCTGTGTATTCCTTAAGGTTTTCTATCTACACGATCATGTCATCTTCAGACAAAGGCAGTTTTACGTCTTCCTTTCCAATCTGTATGCCTTCTATTTTGTGTATGTGTGTGCTTTTATCAGGGCTAGGTCTTACAGCAAAACGGTGAATAGAAGTAATGTGAATGAATATTCTTGCCTTGTTCCTGGTTTTAAACGAAAAATTAATTATTTACCATAAATTATAATGTTAATTGTTAGTTATTCATACACACTCTTTTTCAGGTTGACTGAGCTCCTTTCTCTTACTGTTGCTGAGTTTTTATCAGGAATGGGTATAAAAGATTGTCAAATACTTTTTTTCTGCATTAATTGATCCTGATATATATTAATTCTGTTAACATGGTGAATAGCATTGATTGAACCTTGTATATCTGGGCTAAACACATTTTGTGGTCATGTATTATCCTTTTGCATTGTTTGATTCATTTTGCTAGTATTTCCTTTTGGATTTTTGTATCTGTTTTTATGAATGATTATGGTATGGTATTTAATTTTTTCTTGTGATGTCTTCATGTGGTTTTGTTATCAGGGTAGTGCTGACTTCATAAATTGAGTTGGGGTGTGTTTCATTCTCTTGTATTTCTTAAAGAGTTTCTTTTCAATTGGCATTATTTCTTCCTTGAATGATTGGTAGAATTCATCAGTGAAGCCATCTGGACCTGGAGTTTTCCTTTTGGGGATGTTTTAAATTATGAATTCAGTTTCAAAGGCTATTCATGTTTTCTATTTTGTTCTTAGTTTTAATCACTTGTGTCTTGCAAGTCATTTTCTAATTTATTGCCAAAAAATTGTTGATAATATTCCTTTATCCTTTTAGTCTCTGTAGACTCTCTAGTGATTTTTCATGACTCATATTGGTAATGTTTCCTGTCTTTTTTTTTCCAGTCTAGCTAAAGGTTTGTTAGTTTTAATGATCCTTCCAAATAAACAGCTTTTACTTTCATTGATTTTTTTTTACTACTGTTTGTCTCTTTTTTACTTAATTTATTTCCATTCATACTTTATTATTTTTCTTCTTTTTAATTAATTTTATTTTAATTTGCTCTTTTTAATTTCTGTTTTAAAACTTAGATTGAGGGCTTCCCTGGTGGCGCAGTGGTTGAGAGTCTGCCTGCCGATGCAGGGGACACGGGTTCGTGCCCCGGTCCGGGAAGATCCCACTTGCCATGGAGCGGCTAGGCCCATGAGCCATGGCCACTGAGCCTGCGCGTCCGGAGCCTGTGCTCCGCAACGGGAGAGGCCACAAGAGTGAGAGGCCCGCGTACTGCAAAAAAAAAAAAAAAACTTAGATTGAAAACCTTTTTCTCTTCTAGTACAAGCACCTACCCTTTAAGCTTAACTGCTTTAGTTATATGATTTCAATACTTTTAACTTTATTGAGACTTGTTTTATGACCCAGCATGTGAATTATCTTGGTGAAGATTCTTTCTGCACTTGAAAAGACTATGTATTAGATGCTATTCTAATACATGCTATTAGATGTATGCTTCTGCTATTTTTAGATGGAGTGATGTATAAATGTCAATTCAGCTTGATGTTCCAAGTATATTTAATAGTGTTCTTCAAGTCTTCCATATTCTTTTTTTTTTTTCTTTTTGCGGTACGCGGGTGTCTCACTGTTGTGGCCTATCCCGTTGCGGAGCACAGGCTCCGGACGTGCAGGCTCAGCGGCCATGGCTTGCGGGCCCAGCCGCTCCGCGGCATGTGGGATCTTCCCGGACGAGGGCACGAACCTGTGTCCACTGCATCGGCAGGCGGACTCTCAACCACTGCGCCACCAAGGAAGCCACAAGTCTTCCATATTCTTAACTTATTTTCTGTCTGCTTATTCTATCCCTGATAGAGAAGTATCTAAACCTCTAATTATACTTGTGAATTGGTTAGTTTCTCATTTTGGAGCTGTTTTTTCATTGTTCATTTTGAAGCTGTTATTGAGTTTGTACATACTTAGAGTTGTTATGTCTTGTTGAAATTACCCATTCATCATTATGAACTGTCTTTATGTGTGGCAGTATTCCTTGATCTGCAGTCTAGTTTGTGCAATATTAATATAACTATACCACTTTTCTTCTGGTTTGTGTTTGTATGGAAAATCTTGTTTTATTCTTTTACTTTTAACCTATATCTGTCTTAATATTTAAAATGGAATTCTTTTCAACAGCGTTAGGTCCTGCTTTTTTATCTAGTTTGACCATATCTACCTTTTACTTGACATTTTTAGTTTTAAATTACATTTAAATTAAGTATAATTCTTAATATAGTTCGAGTTAAATATACTATTATTTGTTTTCTATTTGTCCTGGCTGCAGTTTGTACCTTTTTTCTTTCTCTCCTGCCTTCATTTTCATTTGACTTAATTGAGGTTTTTTTTGTTTTAGAATTTTATTTTAATAACGCTGTAGATTTATGCTGTATCTCGTTTTGCTTTTTTAATATCACTTTACATTTAATGTAGTTATCTTACAATAGTATTCTTCCATTTTCTCCCTCCCGGTCTCTACTATTATTGTCATTTGACTTTTGAGTATGATATATACTATTTGATACTTTGTGGTTATCATAGCATTAAACAGTCAATTATCTTTTTTTTTTTTTGCCACGCCATGCAGCATGTGGGATATTAGCTCCCTGACCAGGGATGGAACCCGCATACCCTGCAGTGAAAGTGTGGAGTCTTAACCACTGGACCGCCAGGGGAATTCCTAAAAAAATTTTAATGAGGAGGAAAAGCTTATATATTTATTATTTCTGGCACTCTTAATTTCTTTCTTTAGATTTAATCTTCCATGTGGTATCATTTTTCTTACCACAGAATTTCCTTTATAATTTCTTATAGTGCAAATCTGGTGGTAATTAATTCTCTCATTGCTTATTTATCTGAAACAGTATTTATTTCACTCTGGTGTTTTGTGAACCATGGGTTATTTAGAAATATGTTATTTAGTGTTTAAATTTTGGGAATTTTCAAGATATCTTACTGATTTCTAATTTAATTCCTTTGTGGTCAAATAGTATGCTTTGTATTGTTTGAGTCCTTTTAATTTATTGAAACGTGCTTTATTGTCTAGAATGTGGTCTATAATGGTGCATGTTCTAGGGACACTTGAAATGAATGTATCAATATATGCTGCTACTGTTGAATGAAGGGTTCTATAAATGTCTGTTAGGTCTCGTTGGCTTATAATGTTGTTAAACTTCTTTATAGCCTTACTGATTTTCTGAATAATTGTTCTATTATTACAATGTGTAATGTGTGTTTTCTTCTGGCTGTTTTTAAGATTTTCTCTTTATATTGGTTTCCTACAATTTGATTATGATGTACTACTTTGATATGCTTTTCTTTGTTGCTTTCTTCCTGCTTGGGGTTTATTGAGCATCTTAGAGCTATCTAAATATCAAGATATTTAATATATTTTAGAATATTTTTGGCCATTATTTCTTCAAACATTTTCTCTACTCCTCCGTTTCTCTTTCTGGAGCATCAATTACTTATATGTTAAACAACCTAATATTGTCCTACAGGTCAATGATTTGCTTTTTTTTTTTTTAAGTGAAAAAAGGTTTATTTACATGCTCTTCATTTTTTTAAATGTCTGTTTTCTCTCTGTGTTTCAGTTTCTGTTGTCTTCAACTTTACTGATGTTTTCTTTTGCAGTGTCTAATGTGCTCTTAATCCTATGTCCATTTAGTTTTTCATTTCAGGGATTACATTTTTCTCACCTCTAGAAGTTCTTTTTGGTTCTTATAACATTTTCCATTTTTCTCCTCATTCTATTTATGTTTTCTTTCGTGTTCTTGAATGAATAATAATAGCTAAAGTCTTTACCTACTAATACTGTATTCTCTATCATTTATAGGTTTGCTTTTATTGTTTTTTTTCTACTGGTTAGGGGTCTCATATTTCTAATTCTTTGTATGTTTAGTAATTTTCTGTTAAACTGTGAGCATTATGAATTTTCCGATGTTGATTTCTCTATTTTGTTGTCTTTAAAGAGCGTTGGGCTTTGTTCTGGCAGGAGTTAAATTACTTGAACATCTTTTTGACCTTTCCCTGGCTTGTTTTTAAGCTTTTTAAGGGCAGATTTATTACAGTAGCATTAACATACAGATGTAGATTTATTTCAGCCTAGTACTAAGAAGCATGATTTCTCTGGGGTCTCTTTTATATGTCCACTGTTTCAACACATATTTTCCACCCTTGGGGTGTTTGGTCAGAATTCAAACATGTCCCAGCCCTGTGTGAGCTGAGAGAATTGTTCAGTTTACAGTAGCCCCCCAGCAGTTCCTGGTTTTTTGTTTTTTTTTTCTTTTTTTAGGGTTTTTGAGCTTTTCATTATTGTCACTTCTCATAGTATTTAGTGTGGTAAAATGAGAATTTAGTCTCTGTAATATGTAATTACTGAGGCCTACAGGCACAAGAGAGATAGAAATGACCTTTTAATATATGGACCGTCATGTTAGATGTATAGAAAAATGGTAATTTATTTTTCCAGTAAATTTTAAATATGTGGCAAAGTTGTAGTCTATAGAAAGTACCAAATGAAGAAGAATTTCCAAATGAGAATCACTTTATTCTTGAAATTGTCTTCTTCTTTTGCTTCCATGTGATTACAAAAACTATTTTCTTTTTTCTTTTATTAGTCCTTTTTTTGTTTTTTCCCCTGATCTTTCATCTCTCTTTCTAGGGACTCTTTTTTTCACTCTCTTTGCTAATATGCTTAGAAACCTCATCCATTTTCATGGCTATTAATATTTATCTTCATGTAGATTGTATCAGTGTATATATTATATATGTATACAGTATATAGTATGACATAAACTGCTCAAACCTGTGTTCTTCTTTTTTAAAAAATTTATTTTATTTTATTTTATTTTTGCTGCATTGGGTCTTCATTGGGTTGCGTGGGCTTTCTCTAGTTGTGGTGAGCGGGGACTACTCTTCATTGCAGTGCGCGGGCTTCTCACTGCAGTGGCTTCTCTTGTTGCAGAGCACGGGCTCTAGGCGCACAGGCTTCAGTAGTTGTGGCTCATGGGCTCTAGAGCACAGGCTCAGTAGTTGTGGCGCACAGGCTTAGTTGCTCCGCGACATGTGGGATCTTCCTGGACCAGGGCTTGAACCCATGTCCCCTGCATTGGCAGGCGGATTCTTAACCACTCTGTCACCAGGGAAGCCCTCAAACCTGTCTTCTGAGATACGGTCCTGAATTTTCAAATTCTGGTTGACGGGCTGTCCTCTTTGTATAGCCCATTACCTTAAATAAAATATACCTAAAACCTGAAGCTTTATACTATCCCCAAATTATCTCCTCCTTTACATCTCTTTTTCTCTGAGTAGCTCTCAACTCTTCTTTCAAGTCATCCATTCCTGAAATCTTAGTCATTTTTGACACCTCCTTCTCCTATAATTAATTGCCCAGGCCCATTAATTTGACCTTTTCAGGGTTTCCCATGTCTTTTCTCTCATTTTAATTTCTACTGAAACGTGTATTTATTTATTCATTAACAAATACTTGTTGAAATTCTGTGTATTTTAGGATTTTCCCCCCAGCAAGTAGGAATTATATGGTTTCCACAATATAGCATAGTTCCCAGAAATGATAGGCCCCAGTAAATATTCATGAAATAACTCACTAAATGAATATATCGGGTTGAACCATATGAACTTATCATTTTTGGGGTCAAAATGGTCAAATGTCAGCAATTTCGTATGTTCAACAAATATATTACCAATATGAAAGAGAAATATGCATATTAAGTTACTTCTTAATACTGTTCATATTAACAGTAATATTAATGTGTATAATTTTCTTTCCTTAAACTATAAAATTGACCTTTCTCTTCTTTGTTTACCAGGAAACACGAAATTATCCAGAATCATATCCACAACTGCCAAGGGATGAAACAGTGGAGAACCCTCACCTCCAGAAGCACATTTTGGAATTAGCATCCATTCTGGATGTGCGAAACGTGTTCCTTGAGAATACCATAGATGACTATTAGAACAAAAATCCTCTGTTGAAACAAGTTTTCATTTGCCACAGATTTTAAATGGTGCAGTTTTCTAATGTGATGACAGACACATAGTGGTGTTATTTAGTTTTTATTTTTCAATTTAGGACCACCATTTTAAAAACAAGCTGAAAAAAATTGTTCAAACTTTTAGGGTAACTGTTTTAAAATACAATGTTTCAGGTCTTTTAAAAACTCAATCTTGGAATTTTTATTTTTTGGTTTTGAGGTATGGATGCTTACCTCTAACATCTGATCCTACACTCATATAGTCACTATTCTCACCCTGAGAAGAGTAAATCATTTATTTTTGTATAATGAGGAAAACCCAACTCTTATACTTGGACCTTAAATGTGTGGATTTGGAAAATATGTAATTGTTCACAAATATGAAACTAGCCAGCATGGACTACTAAGAATCAAGAACAGAGCCCTTCCATAATATTTCTTTTCATTCCAAGTTAGTAGATAGAAAAATGTGTGATTCTTTGAAGCCTAATCAAGATAGTTCTTTTTTTTTTTTCTTTTTTTCTTTTTTCGGTATGAGGGCCTCTCACTGCTGTGGCCTCTCCCGTTGCGGAGCACAGGCTCCGGAGGCGCAGGCCCAGCCGCTCCGCGGCATGTGGGATCCTCCCGGACCGGGGCACGAACCCGTGTTCCCTGCATCGGCAGGCGGACTCTCAACTACTGCGCCACCAGGGAAGCCCAAGATAGTTCTTAAAAGCATTTAATTCGTTTAAATGCTGTCAAAGTTTCAGTAACTGTATAGGATTGATTTGCATCTGAAAAGCTGAATCTTTAATTGAGGTCTTGAGATGATACATATCATTTGGAATGTGTGAGTCCTGTGTTATCATGAGATATGTTTGCATATTTTGTTTTCTTTGTATTCTTTGAATGCTGGAAGTGAAAAAGAACAACTTTTAAATCTTTCAGTCAAAAAATCAGGTTGTCGTTTTCATAATACAGTGTTTCCATAGGAATTCCATTTAAACTTTTATTAATTAATGAGATCAAGTTTAAAGACTGTCTAGGTTGAGGTCTGTGGTATACAGTAGAGAGTTTGTAATCTTTCTGCCTAGTTCAGATTTATGAAACTTCAGAGTTGTTACTAATTTTAGTTGAGGGTAACTGAATTGTTATATAGTTAAAATGGAAGTTGCTTTTGCATTGACAATTTGGAAATTAGGTTTTTAAAAACTCCTTATATTTACTATTTTATATTTCATGCACAAGATTTTTATTATTTTATATAGGGTTCAGTGTATTATATAAAGATTTTTGTGTTTTTTCTTCCCTTTCATCCCCTTCATAATTTTACAGGTACTAGCTATGATTTCTTTCCCCTCTTTTGACTCCCAAGCATTCAAGTTCAGAAATCGTTGAATCAAAAGCCCTTCTACCTAATTTTCTGTACAGGCTCACAACTCTACCTCTGGCAGTCCCAGGGGAAATGAGGTGTTTGCTTTTGGTGCCTCTTTCCTATGTCCCTAGGGAAATTTTACTGTAATATTTTTAACTTGGTTTTTATTTCTAACATACAGAATTATTTTGGTCTAAGTTATTCATATATGTGTTCCAATTTGTTGGTTTTTCATCTGAAGTCTTGAAGTTATTGTTCTTGGGTTTGGGAGACTTTGTGGGTTTTTTAATTAATTTTTTAAAAGTCATTTTTGTTTGTTCTTTTAAACATTATTTCAGAAGGCTTTGGAAAAGTTACCCTGGAGAGGGATTTCCTTTGCTAGTGGGTTTTTATTATCAGATAAAGACTGCTTTCCTTTTTTTTTTCCCCCCAGTACCTTAATAAACTTCATAGCTTTCCTTTCATAACAGTGTTCACCTGAACCACAGCAATAGACTGTCCTTAGTTATCTGACCTCTTGTTTCAATTCCCTGGAAGTTCTGTGCCGGTACTAGCAACACATATTCTCCTGTTCTCTGATGCTTAAAATAATATTTATCATCCTGAGCTTTATCCTCACTTGATTAACATAAAGAACACTGGCTTGAGAATTAGGAGACCTGAGTTCTAATCCTGGCTTTCCTGGTAACTAGCTTTATGCCCTTTGACAAGTGTCTTCATGTCTCTGCTTTTTAGCACTCTCATCTGTAAAATGAAGGCATTGGCCCAAGGTTCTGTCCAATTCTGTGGTTCTATAATTTGAACTCTTGGTTCCAAAAGATACTGATTTTCCCACCCCTGCCACCTGGAAAATTGGTTTCCCTTATTTTAGTATACACAACATTTTCTTTTCTATATCATTTTTACCTAGTTTTTGTTCAAGAAAATATCTGGGTCCCACTCAGTTGTTGTAGAAACTAGTTCAGAGAGAGAATCTCCAGAAGAAATTGGAGCTTTTGTTATTAGTAACGTGTTTGTCTAAGAACAAGGGGTCTTGGAACTCACAGCTAGTGTTTAGATGATGACCTTGCTCCTCAAGTTAATAGTAGTGTAATTCCTTACTGGTGGTTAAAAATTTAAAGTGAACTAAAGTAATCTTGAGAGGAAAACTGTGCTGGAAAATTCTAAACTATTGTTTCATTCATGCCTTTAAAAAAATGTGTATTGAGCAACACTATACTCCAGATTTTGTCCTAGGCATTGGTGAAACAGACAACGTAGACTTAAAAGTCCTTGTTTTCATGAAGCTTATATTCTAGTAGGAGGAATCAGGCAATAAATATAATAAATAAGTAAATTTATGTTAGAAAGTTTTAAATAGTATGAAGAAAATTTAGAGCGTGGCAAGGGAAATTTTTCTTTTGTTTTTAGGCAGAAAATAATGTTTCAGTGAGTGATGAGGTAGGCCTTATTGTGAAGGTTACATTTGTGCAAACACTTGTATTCCTTTGTTGTTGTTTTTTTTAACTTTTTGTTATGAAAATTTAAAACATACACAGAGTTTAATGAACCTTGTATACCCATTACCCAGCTTCTACATTTTAAGACCTTACTTTAATTGAGGAAGAGGAAATGAAAAAGGACAATCACTCAATGGGCTCAAGATGGCAATGGCAGAGAGTCTTATTTTCTCAATATATACTGCTCCCCTTTATGAATATTAAAATGTTAAACCCTTTATTTATTTCTAGAATTCATAGAAATTTAAATTTTGGAACTAAGAACAAAGCAAAACAATGGGAAAGGGCACTTCTTTGCTTTCAAATTGCACAAACTCCCCCCTGGAGATTCTGATACAGTGTCTCACCTCACCTAAGAACCACTGTAAACAAAATAGTGTAAGAGTGCAAGAAGTCAGTTATATACAAAACAAAATTAAGCACAATGGAATTGTTTTCTCTTTCTTTGTCCGTATATTTCTGAAGTTGATAAAGCGACTATCTTCCCTAATTTACAGAAGAGAAAGCTGAGACCCCAAAAAACTCAGTTTTTTTTCATAAAGATGGAGCTAGAACTAAAACTCAAATCTCCTAATCTCAGCCCAGTCTTTCCAGTAGCTCAGGTTGCTTTCTATAATGAACAAGAAAGGAATAATTAGAGATTTATATTTTGGCACAAAAGCTATGGTATTTTTTTAATATATCAAATATTGAAACCAGTAAATCAATCAGCCCCAGCAAATTTTAATTTATTATTTATAAAAAATCCCACAAGTCAGACATTTTATCTTTGATTTTAGCCAGGGTATATCCTTTGTGTATGTGTGTGTGTGTTTTTTCTTCCTAGGAAGTGGTGCTCTCAAAAACCTCTCAAAGCACATAGAATTTATTGTACCCTTTATATTTTTACCAAGTTGAAATGTTTTGAGATTATAAAAGCAAAGTGCAATCTAGTCGTGACTGAAATTTTCCTGGTAAAGGATCTGGGTTTTATTTTTTCTCACTTGTGGCTACTATGCTTTGTTTTCTTCTTGCAGTAGTATTCCCTGAGACAGATTAGGTGGTGATTGAACTGAATTTCTTTGAGGTAAAGGGAAAAGCAACAAATCCAATGTATATATTAATTATGAGAGCTTTCATTAGCATTTTTCTCCAAGTTTAATCTCTGACCTGTGTGAGTTAGTAACTTTCTGTCTCTTAGAAGGGTTTTGGACTCTGTTGAAAAATCCACAGAGACTTGTAATCAGTCTGATATACAGAGAATATTCTGGACAGGAAATATAGTAAGGTACTAAGGTCTGCAAACTTGGCTACTGCCTGTGATGCAGAACCACCTCCCCATCCTAAGTGAGTAAAAAGATTTGATATGAATATGAATGGTATGAATCTCCTGGTGATATTTTGGGTGTATATGTTCCTGTATGTTTGTTTGGAGAGTATTAAGGATATTTACATTGAGGGCTCTTTTGTTGTCCTTATTTATTTGAAATTCTTATTTTATTTGCAGTGGCATGTATATATTTTCATGATGCTGAATCTCTGTGTATACTTTTTGTATATATGTACATATTTGTAAATATATGGTATGCAGAGATACAGTATGTGTATATTATATACCCATACCCATTGTGGGCTGAATTTATTTAAGTTCTGTGAGGACATCATGGTGGCATTGTTCATGCTGCTGTAATTAGGTTGTGGCTGTATCTCAGTCGTGAGCCTCTATTTTGAGGGGCTTGTGTTTGGGTAAAATGGACTAATTTGGAGTTGAAATTAGGACATGAAGATCTTAACAGAAAGCTGGATATTCTTAGCTTTAAAATCATCTGCCAGTTTCCATTTAAACTGATGATAAATTAGTGATATGAACCTGAAAAACCTAAGTATGTGAAACTGAGACACCAGCAGGTTCTTAAGCTATATTAGTACTTTATTTTCTTGCCTGTAGTTGGGTATTATTACTTAGTAACATGTATTTATATTGAGAATCAAGGGGCAGTGGAAAAAATTACTTTGATCACATTTCAAAATAGGTAGGAAAATGTCCTTTAAGTAGGGAAATATGTTCCTAGTTGCCATTTTAATGCCTGATACCACAGTTTAATTTGGGAACAATTTTTTTTTCACCAGTGTGTCTCATCTTACCTCTGTGAGGCAGAAAATGGAGCATTAGGTAGAGGAGGGCTTTACCTAGGTAGGGTCGAATTTAATGAGGAACAAGAGGTTGATAACCTTTATATTTGCAGCAGCTGTGATTAATTTAGTCCTGTCTTGGCATTTCTAACGAGAGATTTTTCTAATTGGAACTGCATATCAAAGATGAGTATGCTTATCTGAGAAAATGCTTCCAGTGAATAAAATGCCTCCAGTTGTATTTCTTTGTCTCTATGAGACCACTGTGTTCTGCAAATTGATACATTCACACACGAAGTAGGATTCTTAATATTAGGTGCATGGCATGCTATAAAAGTGGGGCCTTCAAACCTCTACCAAGAATGACAGGTAGGGGAGGATAAGAGGATCGTAAATATGTGCAGTGCCAATTTGTGAACCTATGGAATATCACAGAGATCAATATTCGGTTACTCGGGTCTTTACTGGGCATGTTTATTTGCACGGAAGAGTGTAGGAGATATTTAATATACACTTGAATACATTCACCACAAAAATTAAGTAGGGGTTATTTTTGTGCTTGATAAAATATAACTGCAAACAACTATTTACCCCATTATTCTTCAGAAGATTAAATCTAT